ACTTCTGAAGAAGCACAGACCACAACAACAACAAATGGGTGAGAATCACGATCAAATAACAATGGTATAATAGTACATGAAATAAAAGGCAGAAATCATAATAATACTATTTCATATACATATCATTCGGACTCACGGTCCCACCATCAACCACACTATACAATCACGCAACAAATGCGCTCACACAACTATAACATACGATACCGACTCACAATTCACGATGCGCACCAGGCCATCAACCCTCCTCACACGAGCACATATCAATGATGGGCACTTGGCCATCAACCCTCCACTCAGGGAGCACACCACACTGATGGGCAACTAGCCATCAACCCTCCACAATGGGAGCACCACAACAATACCGATGGACACATGGCCATCACCCTCCACAACGGGAGCACATCTCTGATGGACACCTGGACATCACCCTCCACTACGGGAGCACCTCACCAACATCAATGGACACATGGCCATCACCCTCCTCACCGGGAGCACAACATATTAACATCGATGGACACATGGCCATCACCCTCCCCACCGAGAGCACAATACATTAACATCGATGGACATATGGCCATCACCCTCCCCACCGGGAGCACAACGCATTAACATCGATGGACACATGGCCATCACCCTCCTATACGGGAACACATACAACCATATTCACACACAACATACATCTAGCACACCAAGTGCAAACCGATCCTATTGATCCACCCCTCACACAATATATACATATACATGACGCACAAGGCGTACCGATCCCACAGATTCATTCCCATCACAAAATGCATACATAACAGGCACATAAAGTGCGTCGATCCCACGGATCCGCTCACCACATAACTTATCACACATAATGCACACCGGGCATGTCGGTCCTACTGACCCAAATACATCACATAACGACACACAAAAGCAACGCACAATAAGCGTACCGATCCCCACGGATCCACTCACCACAACACACCAACACAACGCACTCAAGGCGTAACGATCATATTGATCCTCATATCTCGCACACAACACATCAATACCATGCGCACTAGGCGTAACGATCCTACTGATCACACTACCACACAACATATCACACACTATGCACATAAGGCATACCGATCCCACCGATCCAATCATATGTCACATACATATTAAGCACACAAGTGCATCCGATCCTACCGATCCAATCGCCACACAACAACACATAATTACAACGCATATAAAGCATATCGGTCCTACGGACCCACTCACCACAACACATATCACACACTATGCATATAAGGCATATCGATCCCACTGTTCCACTCATCACACAACAACATATAATCACAACGCATATAATTATACCACATAATCCACCGATCACGTCGAATGCTTTAAACGCCGGCCACGTAGCCCTCTAACACCCAACCTACACCCAACACCCATAAATCATCACGGTACTTCAGACTGGCCACGCTCAACAATCACAGTTGCACACAGTTCCAGGGAGAACAAAGTTCTGCTATACTCGCCACCTATCAACTTAATCTCATACAACCACATCTCAAGAGTTTCTTACAATATCACATACACTCATAACGCATATCAGGTCACTTATTCGGTTATATAATTACCACGAGAATCACACTCCCGTATCACACGTATTCATTCCTAATCGAAGGATACATAGCCACTTTAGGCATCATAGCGTACTTCGGTTCAATCGTTCATATCAACGACTATTCAAGCACACGCTCCCTACATCACCTTCATGCTCTCAACCGATCCACGATAACCACATACTCGCTCACGACCAATAAGGGTCTAACCACACGAGAAACGAAACAACACAGCATAAAAACCATAAAATGCTGTCATGCTCGCTGCCATTCGCCTGACGAAGCCCCGCAGCGAACACTCACTGGGACTCGCCCGACGAAACCCCTAGCGAAGCCAAACAAAAGCAACAGGCAGCATTCGCTGCCCAGTTCGCCTGGCGAAACCTGGCGAAGGCTCGCCCCCATTCGCCCAGCGAATGCACGCGAATTCTGTAGAAAAACTGCTGTTCAGAAACAACCCCACACTCCGATTTCGTCCGATTAAATCCCACGAAATCTTACACTATACCAGTACAATACTATCCCACAAGACTACACCGATTATCCTAGTTCATACTCGATAAATCCTCAGTTCTACTCAATTCTCCAACTTCCGGCATTAACTCCGAATTTATCGGAAACCCAAAATCATCAAACAACCATTCCATAGCACATGCAATGAACTCAAATACAATAATCACAATTACAACAGAAATCAATAACATGCAACAACATAATTTCATCATTCATCTATGGGGTTTAGGGAATTCCCCGTTCTACCAATTTTTCATGTAATATCGAATTTAACTGATCAATCCCCCCCTTACCTCAAATTCGATGCTGATGTTGATAAAGCCTCTCAATCCACACGAAAATCCTACAGCCCAACCTCCTCTTGCTCAAGCTTGCTCTTGCTTTGATCGTGTTCTTCTCCTTCGACCGTGTTTCCTCTTCTCATGCGTGTTCTTCTCCTTCGACCGTGTTTCCTCTTCTCATGCGTGTTCTATTCTTCTCCTTTTTCCAATATTCCACCTTTACCCTCAATACCCCCAAATTCTCTTTTATTTCTCCTCCAAATAAACAACTCTCATTTCTTTTAATTCCAAATAATAATATTACTCCTCATTTCTTAATTCCAAAATTAACCCCAATAATATTTTTAAATATAATAATAACAACAATAATATTAATAATAGTAGTATCAACACTATTAATCATCATATTATTATTATTAATCATATTTTTCTAATATTATGGGATTTAATTCCTCAAACAATTTCCCCACATAATGCACCGAAAATCAAATAACACGGGAAAACCAAATAATTAAAAATGGGCGTTACATAACCGGTTACCCTATATCTGATAACTGCTTACACCTTCAAGAGAATCACTTTTCTGCTGCTTATCAATACAAAAAGTGATTTTTAACCTATCTCAAAACCGCACTTTTCATACAAAACGTGAAATCCATTTTTTATACTAAAAATCCAGTCTTCGTCAACACAAAACCCCTGATATTTCCCCCCAAAAACACCCAAAACAATTGTTCCGACACTGACTCGTGATTCCACACAACGACACAACCACAACAATAATCAACCGTCGATTAAACAAATCAACAACAACAACAATTGCATCAATTTCATCATCTACCACGATTCTAACAACATCATACAATATTCCTCATAATCAACCAATTCAACAACAACATTCCATCAGAAACATGAATAAAGGAAAAAACAACACAAAACCTACATGAAAAGTCTATCCAAAAATATCATCATACTAACCCTTAGCTAGTTAGAACCCCACCCTTACCTTAGAATTCTTGCAACGATTTCCCCTTCCCCGACAATGGATTCCTCTTCTTCCTTTTCCATAGCTTTCACTTCACATTCTTTCTTCAGTTTCTTCCCAAAACACGTCCTGACCAATATTCCTCTAAACTCCCTCTTCTCTATTTCTTATAATAATAATAATAATAATAATAATAATAATAATAATAATAATAATAATAATAATAATAATAATAATAATAATAATAATAATAATAATAATAATAATTCACAAATAAATAATATTAATAATATTTTCTAATTATTTAAATTAGTAATATTAATCTAATATTACTAATATTATTTAATTAGTCATTCACACCACACCACCAAGTTCTACATAATTAGCCACACACCCCTCACCGTTAAAGTCATTAATCACTACTCACTACCACAGGGTACTCCTATATTATAAAACTTACATAATCACATACAAGCACATAATATCACATAATTTTAATTATGAAAAATAATTAACATAAATCGAGCCTTTACAAATTCTGTCTCCTATAGTAAGAAGAAAAAGGTGGAGTGACACGAGGTGAAGCACAAGCCCCAATAGTAGACAACGCCCTAAAAGTTGGCGCCTATGCTTGACCAGAGGTACCTGGAGCCTCAAAAACCTGTTGGCTCTGCTCTGCTAAGCAACCCTGCCATGTCTCAGTCTGTCAACTCTGTCAGCCATTATGCCTGTAAGGTAAAATAAGGCATATCATTAGTTCACACACAAAAAAAAAAATACTGTAGAAAATTCCGAGATGCATCTCCAAAAACACAATAAAATTATAACATTGAACAATTCTGGAGATGCGTCTCTGGAAACACTATAAACTATATATTTTAAGAGTTTCAGAGATACATCTCCGAAATTCCCAAAGTATATGAAACATTGAACAATTCCGGAGATGCATCTCTATAATGTTCTGCAACACATATGTCGCGTCAATGGCGAATGTACCTCTTGCAAGTTGAAAAAGAGCACGATTTAATCCCCATTTAAGCCAACAAACAAGTCATACACTAACTCTAAACTATGTTACATGTGATTCATATACATTTCTAACAATAATAATTGATTTCTACACATTTACAATAAAACTCAAAATTTATCAAAAACTCAAAAAACTTACTCGAAATTAATGATTCAGATGTTGTTTTCAATATTAGAGATGATTTTTGGCGTTCCTTTGAGTTCTTTATACTCTTGTTTGATGAAATTTGATTTGGTATATGGTTGTATTGAAAAGAGTGTTGAAGTTGTTTGTTGAAGAAAATTGTTAAATGAGAAAGGAGAAGAGTCTGACACGACTTATCTCCGAGATATTTTAACATTCACTTACGATTGGGTGAGTTTAAAGATATATCTCAAAAAAACAAATGACATTTATGAAATTTCACGTCTGTGATAGAAGTATATAATATACCCTAAGAAATTAAAAAAAAATTTAATATTGTCTTGTCCTTTCTAACACGCACGTGTGGGATCTGTATAACTCGTCTATTACTGGTCAATTCATCTTCGAGTGCATTCTCTACCAAAACCCTAACCCTTCATCGTTAACAACCCCATTTTTACTCTGAAATAATGGCAAGTTCTCCATCTCCAATTTCTATGCCAATATCTTGTTCTGAGCTTCGCCTCCAACGCTATCTAATTTTTCTTTATGTTTGATTTTGCAGGCCGAATCACCACCTAGAAGGTAAACCCTAACACTCTCTTTGATTCAAATAATAATCATTGTACTAGTTTCTATTATCCATTTTCTCACGTTGTAGCTTTTTTCATGTTTAATTGGAAGATTCATGTTTACGCGTGTTTTAGGGTTCTAACCGTATAGGTACGGATTTTTTTTTTTTGGTTCAATTTGAATGAAAAACTGGAACCACTAATAGTTTGGTGGGTAATTTTTGTTCCTTAACATTTGACTGAATGACTGGTTTCTCACCATGTTGAGAAGTTTGATTAGAAATTGATAGTTATGCTTAAGATTGTTGATAATTTTGTTTGAAGTAGAGTGTGCTGCTTGATGGAAAGTGGCCTCTCTGAGCATGAGATTCAATGTTTATGAAGTTAAACATACACATACATTTGTTTTGGATTCAACTCACAGTGAAGTTATTTTCACTCTGTACATAATGGTATTTCAGGATTTCAAAGTCCCCTTCACCGTCACCCTGGAAGGCTCAATCACGATCACGGTCAAGATCAAGGTCGAGGTCTGTGCCAAGACAAAGACCAAGATCTGACTCCAGAGGTCGTGGCAGGTTAATAGCAAAAGTTTCAAATTAAAGGGCTATCTTTTTTAAAACACTGACTTTTCTAGCTCCCTCTTTTGTTTCTAACACTTTTAACTTTTCTGACCTCTCTTATTAACTCTGGAATGGATGGATTTTTTCTTCTTCTTCAGATCAAGGTCTCGGAGCCCGGAAAGGTTGGTCCTTTTTCTGTTTTTGTTGTTAATCCTGTGTGATTCATTATCGGAAAGCCATACTTTGAAACTCTAGTATTTCTCAAAGGGATAGATGTGCTTTTGTGTTATCTTGGGGTCTATTGATATGCTATTAACTTCTGACGTTATCAATTTGTATTGCAGGGGGGCCAATCCTACAAATCCTGGTAATACACTTTATGTTACTGGTCTATCTTCAAGGGTCACTGAGAGAGACCTCGAGGAGCATTTTTCCAAGGAGGGAAAAGTGAGTAGCATATCGGTTTTCTATTCATTTATTCAATGGTTGTTTCTTCCTGGAGTAATTATATTCAAAGGTTGTTTTCATATGTAGGTTGCTTCATGCTTTCTTGTAGTGGAGCCACGTACACGAATTTCTCGTGGTTTTGCTTTTGTTACAATGGATTCCCATGAGGATGCTGAACGGTGTATCAAGTATCTCAATCAATCAGTTTTAGAGGGTCGTTACGTCACTGTAGAACGGGTAATGTGTTTTCACTTGTGATAGTGGTTGGTAAAACAAATGTACTTTTCTTTATTCTTAACTTGAAGATTCTCTGGTTATATTCAGACTATATTGCATCAGTTATGTTGGCAACAATCAGAGATGATCGGTTGATATCGATGCAAATTTAGTGAAACTGCTTGATCAATGGCAAGTTTAAACAGCTAATCAAATGCAACTGATCAATGACAAGCCTAAACAGCTGATCAAATGCAACTGATCAACTAAATATAGCAACTTTGTTGGCCATCAACTTTACAACCTCAGTAGTCACTTTCAACTCTCAACCATTCTTTACATCAGCTATGCTGGCACAATCAGAGATGACCAGTTCATCATTGCAAATATATTGAAACTGCTAAATCAATGACAAGCTTAAACAGCTAATCAAATGCGACTGATCAACTTAAACATAGCAACTATATTGTCCATTCAACCTTTCAATCTCAGCATTCACTTTCAACTCTCAACTAAACAACGGACATTTTCAACAACTTTATAAATCAGCCTTTTTTATGGTATCTCGCACCTGGCATTAATCACATGCTTGTGGATATGATTTCTTCCTCCTTTTTTTAGAAGCTGGCCTCTTTTACCTTTAATCCTTGATGAAAATTCTTTTAGAGAATTTTATTAATATAGTTTTAAAATGTTACTTATAGGACAGAGACAAAAAAGATGTCACAAGAGTTTGCTTGCTTTCATTAGTATTCTGGTGATATATCTTTTATATGGTTGAAGCACTACTGACTGAGCTCCTGTATTGTTTCAGTCAAGAAGAAAGCGTGCAAGAACTCCAACACCAGGGCACTATCTTGGGCTGAAAAATACTAGAGACTATGGTAAGTTTGATTGAGGGACATCTATCCTGAATGGTGAATATGTTCTTTTTGCATTTTTCCGTACTTCATTTCCTGAAGTGTATTTTTTGTGTGTGTAGGCTCTCGTGGTGACAATCGTGATGACTTTCGTGGTGGCAATCGTGGTGACTTTCGTGGTGACTATCGCGGTGACAGTCGTGGTGACTATCGCGGTGACAGTCGTGGTGACTATCGCAGTGACAGTCGTGGCGGCAGTCGTGGTGACTTTCGTGGCGACGGTCGTGGCGATTTTCGTGGTGACCGGGGAAGGAATTACGGTGGTTCTGGTCGTGGTGATTATTCACATCGTAGGTCTCCAAGGCGTTCACCATATCGTGGAGGCCAAGATCATTCACCACAGCACTCACCCTATGTTGGGAGGTCTAGGAGGGAGAGATCCAGGTCTATTCCCCATTCTCCTTATAGCCCAGACAGGAGGTATGCTGGTGGATCTAGGTGAGAGCTTGCTTTATTCCTATCTGTAAACAGGTTATGGAAATTTGTTTACTATTTTGAATTGATACTACAACTTTAAGTTTGTGTGAACTCTAAATGTGTATTGTTAGAAGCTGTTGTTCTAGTGTGACTATCAGTTTGTGCGATATTATCAATGTCACTCAGGAAGTTGGTTTGGACTTGAGTGTTTTAAGTTATATATTTCTAACATTAAATTTTGCTATGAGGAGCCTTTGCATCTTAGGAATTTTATGTGTCTGCATGTCAATGATGTCAAGCCCCAAATGCTGTGAATGTATGCTCACAGTTCCTTATGGTTTGATGAGATGACTTCCTTTATTGTTTCGTTTGGGGCCAGAGTGGTAAATCGTTTAGTCCTGTCCATTTCATCTGCTTTCATTCCAACTCATTTTATGTTCTCGTAATGGAGAGGTTGAAGCTTGTATTCTTCACCAGTTTGTTCAGGCTAAACATTTTTGTTGCTTTACATTTTAGGGGTAAATTGTTCAGAGCATTGACAGAGTTTTGAAAGACCTTACAATGGGGCCAATTAATAAAGGTTATTAGGTTAAACATAGAACTTGTCAGATATGATTGAGCATGTGTGCAAAACTATTTTCCACCCAGTATTAATAATTGAATTATATTATTTTTTTATTTAAATTGCAAGGTTTGACGGACCTATGTGGTTGTGCTAGCACATTAATATGCAAGTAGGAAAGTTGTACACCTAATTACAACTTCTCACTTATATTTAAAGATGAAAATTCTCACGTTGTGGTTTATCTTGCTTATTGATTACTTTAGTTCTTTATTTTTAGTTAAGGTTCTTCGTCTCTTTAATTGTTAACAACATCATTATTTTCTCCATTTTTTGTTGAAAACACTTGTACACGTTACAAGGATAGCAAGAGATATCATCTCCATAAATGGGTGCTACAATGGACTATATCTACTCGTAGTGGTTTGAATTTATGAACTCAAACTATCTATTAGTTTTGAGTGTGAGGTGTGATGAATGTGCACTCGACTCTGCGAAAGCGGTTTTTAGAACAATAACAAAAGGACTGAATAGAGGTTGAATTTGAATGTGCGGTGTCATAGAGGTTGTGTGAAGGGAATTTCTTATTCCACCCTATGGGGTGAGAAAACACTATGCAAAACCTAAAATGTCTTTTAGATTTCGGAGATGTATCTCCAGATATATTTTATCTAAAATTTAAATGTTAAATCTTTGTAATATTTTAAAATAGACACTATGCATCCCACATCAAAGGCATTTTACATATTTATTATTTTGGAGATACATCTCTGTTTATTTTACAGAGATTCATCTCCGTTTTTTTTATAGAGATGTATCTCTATAACATGTTGGAACATGTTATGTTTTGTTTAAATTTATTTAGATGAGGATTTGTAAATGTTATGTATTATGTTATATGATGAAATTTAAACCATACAATTGATGTGTAAAAAATGACGTATATAAATTCAAATGGTCCAAAAATGATAATCCATAGTGATTCCAAAGTACAATTATTATATACTATTGCACTATTGGACATACTCTCTGTCTCTTTTGTCTCGTCGGCCTTCACTACCCTCTATCCTCCGGTGCTGTTTTTGATACATCAATGTCTCACATGCCTCTTGTGATGACATATAGGACCTATATTATACTCATCAAGGAAGATACCTCTGTCAATGACGGTCTGCACAATTTTCACTATGCAACAACATCTAAGTAAGACATCCTCGACATGATCTAATTGGTCTCGGTGGATCTTTTGGAGTAGCATGCACCATACGGATGTGACACCCTGAAGAAGCACGTAATGTACTCGTTGATGTAGCTTCAATCACTCTCAGCTATGATACTTCGTGCTTTCTCTAGTATCAAATGACTCTCATAATCATCAAACATGACATCCATTTGCCTACGTGCTAAAGCAAGAGGAGCAGAGACAACATGGTGTTTGAGAATGGTCTGAATGTAGACGAACTGTCGCATCTTGCGTGCAGTGAGACATGATCCACAGGCCAACCATCTAGAGTATAACATAATCTCGTCAAATGACTGTGTATCATGGTGATCAACATAGTTGTTAAAATGCATGTCCTCGGCAACTAAGCGATTAAGATACATTCTGAACGACTCTGTCATATGGTTTCCTCTGAGCGCGACAAGTACAATAGCACACAACATATTTTCAGTGTTAGTCGGTACTAGGGGTGGAAATAGGCTGGGCCGAGATAAGCTTTGCCAAGCCTAAGCCTGACCTACCAAAAAAACTGAAGCCTAAGCCTAACCTGTAGTCTGTCATTGACTTATTTTTTAGGCCAGAACCTGACCTTTTCTAAGACCCGGTTAGCCTATTAGTCTACATAAAGTCTATTATTTTAGACATATGTAAATAAATAATTAAAATAATGTTTAAATAAACTAACAAACTAAAAAATCAGTGAGACTAAAAATTTATATACATTGACTTATTTTAACTTACCTATTAGCATAAGTTTTATGAGACTATTTGTTTAAGATAACTTATGAAAATAACTTATATCATTGTTCATAAGGTTTTTTCATCTTATTTTCATAAGTTCTCTAAGATAACAAATTTTTATTTATTTATTTTAACTCAAAGTACAAAACATAACATAATGATAATAAAAAATTATTCATGTTTATTTAAATAGGCCGAACTGTTAGGATTAAAAGGTTTTTTTTTATGGCATGAGGCCTAACCTTTTTAACTAAATAGGTTTATAAAAAAGCTTAAACCTTTTCTATTAAAAAAAAGACTTGGCCTGACCTGAGCCTGTGTAGGCTAGCCTGTAGGCCCTTGTTATATACTTGACCTATTTCCACCCATAACCGGTACACCTGTCCAACTAGAGATGCGTGGGAAGTGCTAATGGATCTAAGTTTGAAAGTGTTGGAACACATAAATCACCAGTAATGGCGCTGCACATATGCAATAAAAATAACACAGAAACATTAAAATACTAATTAATATTATCTTTAGTAGTGTGATGTTGCATGTGACCTGCTTCATCTTCCACCCACATCCCTCTGATAGCTTCGAGTACAAGTAGACCAAACAAGCGCCCCCAGTTGTTCTCATGGATCCGCTCGAAGTCCTCGAAGTACCGTAGGTAGATGACATATGTATAAGTGACACTCTTGTCCATAAAAATAATAGTGCCAACCAAATTTAGCATGTATGCTGGCATATCATATGATTTATGGAGCTTCACATGCTCGTCATCCCCTCTAACCTGTTGTGCTCTAATGATCTCATACATGTATAACTTTTTTAGAATTTCAAAACTAGCATGAGCCCCTTTGGTTATCTCCATCTCTGATATCGCAACCTCTGGGTCAACCCCCAGATAGTCTACCATTAACTTGAGTGCCTAGTCTTTGCTAATCCTCCTATGATCTAGAAGTTTCCCCCCGATCAAAAGATGCAACAAACATGACATGTTGTCTAGTGTGATAAACATCTTACTAAGAGGGAGATTAAATGACTAGGTCTCTGAGTGCCATATCTCTATAAATGAATTAAGCATCATGTGGTTGACCGTAATATAATCAAGCATGCACAAATCCTTCATCCTAGATAGGGACAAAACTGTCTGAAACCATTTCTCTTCCGCCCGTGGTTAATAAACTTTAGTGGATCACGATTTTGCAGAAAAATAAATCAACGTCAGAAACTTGTAATATAATAATAAACGTAAGTTAAAAATGATAAGTCCAACTAATGTTACATCTCCGTCCCAAATATGTCTGGCAGTATGGTATATGTATAAATGCACTAATGACAAGTCTACATGCCTCCTTTTAATGTCTTCGGCTCAACATCCTCACCATCCAGAGGCATTAATGGCTGAGTAGCATCAGCAATCAAAGGTGGCACTGCCTCAAAAGCATCATTCGAAGGTGGCACTGGTGCCTCTGGTACCATCGGTGACTCGGGTGCCTCTAGCGTTTGAATAGGTGAAACCTGACACATGCGGGAGGATGAGGGGATGATGCGTCAGTAGGTGAAACCTGTCTCATACAAGAAGAAGAAGATTGAGAAGCATGAAAAGTAGCATGAGCCTCAGAAGTAGATGTCTCTGCATGGCCAAAGTGAACAGGAGCCTCCGAAACCTGACTCTTCTCCCTCTGTACTGATGCATGCTATGTAATCTTCTTGTGCCTCGGTCTATTGTGTCTATCAGCCATAAAACATACAAGTAAGCAAGTAAGCAACACTACAAGCAAGAAAAGAAATAAAATAAAACATACTGCTAAATTTTGGAGATGCATCTCCGGTTACTGGAAAATTTAAATGTTGAAAAAATTCGGAGATGTATCTCTGAAATTTCCTGCAACACCTCAGATGCGTCAATGGCGGCAATGCAGACATGAAAAAAAAATTAAAATAATGGTTTGATAATCATTTTCAGCCAACAAACATGTTTTACACTATGTCTAAACTATCATTCATGTAATTTATACTCACATCTTATCTTAATAATTAATTTCTACTCATTTACACAAAAACTCAAAAAAATTTCAAAACATAAAAAGACTTACAAATTTAGAGTTTACCTCACACTTTGATGATGTCTCTAATGCACTTGTTGATTAAAGAACCTTTAAACTTGGTTGTTTGAAAAAAAAACACTTTGAGACCGTTTGATCAAACTTTATATTTTTTAAAAATGAGAAAGGAAAAAAGTTTTGTCACGATTTAAACTCGAATATTTTTTAAAAATGCATCTTCAAAATACGTTTGAAGATGTATCTCCGAAATATTTTTCCTTACATGATATTCTAAAGGATAATATTTTCCCTTTCACAAATATCATTTTAGATTTATTTATTTATTTATATTTTTCGTAAAGAATGTTTGTTTGATGAAATAAATTTACTATTCAGAAAATGTCATTGCTACTAATATTATTAACAATAATTTAACTTTTATGCAAGTTATTTAGATTCTAAAAAATTATAGGAATTTTAAAAATAAGTAAAAATGTTCAAATAATATGAGAGTGGATATTTATAATTGTTTACTTTTTATTTTTATAAGAAGGTAAGATTCCAATCCAATACTTTGATATAAGGATGAATATTCAAAATTTTATAAGTTATATTTCTACGAATAAATATATATAGATACAATTTGTTAAAAAACTTGAAAAACAAAATCACGAAATATGAAATTTTCAATCTCACATTTTCGAAAATATGAGTTAAATCTATTAATCAAACACCTCTTTAGTTATCTGGATAATAGAGAGAAGTTTTCCTAAGATGACAAACCTATAAATTAATCAACACGGAGTCCACTTTTTATGTTACATATATAAAATATATATGACATATAAGTGATTTTTACTATTTTTTACTTCAATTATGTTTTTACGTTTTATTTTAGAGATGTTAAATCAGGAAATTTTAATTTCTCGAGTTACTCTTCTTTTAGGTTAGACTATTATTTTAAAAAAAAAAGTAATAGCTTTAATTTTTTTATAAGTTCATTTTGCTTAAAAGGTTTTGTGACAAGGTATAAGTAGGGATATTCATAAATACGGATTTTTGCTGATCTAAATCAAATCAATTTATAAATTATTCAAACTCATTTATTTATAGATATATTTAACTCAATTTGTAACAAACTGTATAGTTTTACTTCATATATGGTATTTTAGTTTTGCAACTTATGGATCTGTTGACCAAACCCATTAATGTGTCTTTAGTAATTTCTTATTATTTTAAATAAAAAAAATAAATTTAATATCTCACTAATTACCATAACTTTTTTTAAAAAAATTATTCTCCACTAATAATATTACTAGGCCAATAAATTTATGTGATTCTAAGCTTAAATATTGTTTTTTATTTTCTTTTGTATCATTTTCAACTTATATATTTTATGAAAATAACGTGTTTTGTTGAACTTTATATTATTATCAAGTGCTATTTCAAGATGAAATATTTTATTAGATATTATATGATTTGTTTAATCAAATTTGAGTGTTATAAATGAATATGATTGTATTGAATTGTGTTGCTTTTTTTATAACTGACAGAAAGAATCATAAAAAAAATATTTTTTTAATTTTAAACAAAACCCGCAAACTCAACCCAACCCACAACCTATAAATAAATGAGTCAGTTTGAGTTGGTTTTGACAATAAAATTGCAAATTGAATGAAAAAACTCAATCCATTAAAATTTGAACGGGTTAGATAACGGGTTTTACCCGATCCAACCCAACCCGTATACAAAAGTATAAGAAAGTCCGTTAAATTAATATCTATAATATATTTTAATTATATTAAATTTTATACTTCGTATTCAATAATAAATTTATTAATCTTTTAAGCAACTTATGCTTATTAACTTTTATTAATTTGTTACATCTTTAACTGTTTATTATAAATTAAAATTAAAATTAAAAAGTAATAGTTTAATAGCGACAAAAATTTAAGCTTAATATTGAAATAAAATATAATTATTTTTGAGAACTTGAAAATAACTCATAAACTATAACGTAAGCCTTTTTTATAAGTTATTCTAAATAAATAGTCTATAAAATTTATGATTTAAAGTGAATTCAAATAAGTTAGATTAGATAAATATTTAGTCTCGAATTGATTTTTTTAAGTCGTTAGTCTATTTGGACATTGACAAAATTATTTATTCAAACGACATAAACTTTAAGTTGACTAATAAATAAATAATTTTTTTAAAACTATTAGTCTTAAACCTAAAAAGAAATTTATGATAAACTATTTAGACTCATGAGATTTATGTTAAATTAACTATATAATCAATTAAATATGGACTGACACAATTAATTATTAATAAATTATATAATAATTAATTGTTATAAAATATTAATTATTAATGAATTATTTGATTGAAATGATGATTAATTGCTATAATGATTTATGAAGTTCATGTTCGTAATATACCCTCAAGCCAACAGACAAGTCAAATTAAAGAATAAAGTAAATCTTCAAAGGACTCAAGAAGAAGTTGGTCAAAATGAAAAATTTGAACTTCACCATACTCCAAGCGTGATGATAATCAAGCATAATATCTACACGTTTGATGTGTTTGATTGGGTCTCTAGTATTGTCATAACTGTTTTGCTTTGCAGGTTTTTCGAGAGACTTTGAGATCCGTTGTCGAGTATGTTACTCAAGAGCGGATTTTATTCTTTGGCTATGGATTTGTAATCTGAGGATGGTGTGGTAGAGATCTTCGTGGATAATATGTTTGCGGGGGAGTGTGGCTACCACCTTTGTCTCTAAAATCATGTGAAGGAGATATGCATTCTCGGTATCGAGGAAGATGAAGAGATCTTGAAATGTCTTGGTCTAGAGAGGCGGTATCAATGATGATCAATAGTGACTTTGTTCCACGATTACCGCACGACGGTGTTTTGTGAGAGGACCGGACTCTAAGATGAGCAAATTACAAGTTTTCCTCAATCCTGATGAGTCTTTCAGCTAAGAGATGTGAGTTCTAGTGTTGCACTAAGTTATAGATGTTGTAGAGAGGTTCATTCTTTTATTTCATGGATAGGATGGCTTGGAGTTGGTAGAGGCTCTAGAGCATCTCTAGTATACGAATCTATTGTTGTAGTGCCAGGTGCTTGGAAGTTTGACTTTGAAGTAACAGTAGGAATAAAGGTTAAAAGATAGGAAGTTCCTGGAATGTGCTTTGGATGATAGTTGGAGGAACTATAATATGAGGATTTAGAGTGGACATAGAAGTTACTAAGACTGAACTGACATCTATTATTGGAGGATAATGAGGCTTTCTCGCGAGATCAGGAAAAATTATTACTACGACAGTAGATGCAGCAATGTTATGCTAGACAACTAGTCAAGTAAACTTAGATGTTGCCATAACTTACACAAATTTAACTGAACGTTAGAGGAAGAAGAAGATCAGTTGAAATTGAGCAGTTGCAAAGAGAAAGTGATTTTTCCCAGAAATTTGAAGAAATCAGAAGTTGCTTTCCACAATCAACACTACTGTTCTACGGTGGAACAATATATAGGAAATGTTATGAGCTCTTCTGATGCGGCGGTGAGAGTTTCTTATGCGGTGGAGCAGGATGACTTGCAAATTTAACACTCCAACGTTTAAATCAGTGAAGTCAAGAGATGTAGTTCATAGGAGTGAAAAGTGAGATGACATATATAAATGACACATCTGTAGGGCTTATATATGGAAGACGGTTAAAACCTGTTATGTCTAACCTAACGTGTGATACGGGGAATCGTTTAATCAGATCTAATGATTCCCGATGTACGAATAATTAGGATTAGATGCTCGACTCTTTGATGAAGTCCCACCCGTTTCTTTATCTACCGCAACAATGTTCTAAATTAAACCTTTGAACAATCCAAAACAAGAAATAATAGAAAAAAAAAGACAACTTTAAAATTTTGATTTTCTCTAATTTTTTTCTCTATTTCTTTATTTATTTATTTTGAGTCTCCCTTACAATCTTATTCTTTCTTGATTAATTTATAATATTCTCATACAGAGAAAATAAAATTAAAACGAGACGTAGAGTAAAAAGAGAAAAATAAATAAAGGAGAGATCTATATCTCTACTTTATACTTTTTTATATATAAATTATTTAAATTAAGAACCTTCGGTCAGATTGTAAACTTTTTCATCCAAAATAATAAAAATTACACATAAATAAAAGCTAAGGAGAATATAAACCGAATTGCTACTCTATTTTGAAGATAGAATTCAATCCTCTTAAAATTCTTTACGATTTAGTTTTTTTAAAAAAATAAAGACTTTTAAGGGATATGCCTATATTTTGATATATGTTAAAAATTTTTAAAACATACTATAACACATTAGCATTTAATATTATATGTTAAAATTTTAAAATATCAATCACATATTACAATATAAACATTAAACACGATCCTCTAAACTCTTTAAAAATTAATAGTTAATAGTACAGTACCCGTCAACATGTAATAATGAAGAGTTGAAGAAGTACCATTTTAGTTTTAATAGTATAATATAAATATAATAAAAGTGACTTCAATTAATAGTACAGTATCTGTTTTTAAGATGAAACGAAACCATGGAACGCTGCAATAGGAAAAGAAACAACTTTGAACAAAGAATATCAGCACACAGAAACGCAACCTGCTAACAATACTGCCCACAGACACACACTCACCATGAAAAAGAAAAAGGCCTCGTTCTCTTTGAAATTTCAATTTAATTCAATTCAGTTTTCAGATTTTACATTCATCTTCGAAAACGGTTATGGTGAAACTCAGGCATTCTCGCGACGGACTTCGAAGACCGTCGCTAACAACTTTACGGACTCTAATCCTCACATTGGCTGTGGCCTTCACATTCCTCATTCTCATTCTCTTAACTCTCACCATCCCTAAACCCAACCATCTCAAGTCCATCTCTCGCAGAAATACTCTCAGGTTTCTCTTCAATTCCATTACTACAACTCATTTTCATTTCTTTATCTCTCTTATTCTTATATATTCTATGTAGAAGCGAATACGGCAAGAGAGAGCTTTGGGTTGAAACCATATCGTGGGAACCTAGAGCTTTTTTACATCATAATTTTCTGGTCAGTTTCTGTCTCCTTTGTTTAATTATATCCATTTCCCAAGTGCTAAAAGCTTAGATAATTAATATGCGCAGACGAAGGAGGAATGTGAACATATAATCCGTATATCCAAGCCTAGTATGAGTAAGTCGTCTGTTGTTGATAATGAAACAGGAAAGAGTTTTGACAGCAGGTTAGATTTTTTTTTTCCGACCCCAAAATCTCGTTTATCTTGTTTAGATTGCCATTGCCATTTCATGGAGGGTTAACCTTTTGTTTACATATTCCCTTTGCATTTAGTGTACGTACAAGCTCCGGAACTTTTCTCCGGAGAGGACATGATAAAATTGTGAGGAATATTGAGAAAAGAATTGCTGATTTTACTCATATACCAGTAGGTGAGTTCTTGAAATTAAGGTTTGATGCTCTTGCTAATGTTTTTGATTCAACTATGTATGAATAAAGTGGAATGTTTTCAGTTGTGTTTGCAATCTGGACTATGATGTTGAGATAGTATGTTATTTTTCATCCTATCTTTTACTTAAACAACCATGACTTCAGCTTTGTTTCACAATGTGCAGAGCATGGGGAACCCCTTCAAGTGCTCCGTTATAAAGTTGGACAAGAGTATGTACCTCATTATGATTACTTTGCGGATAAGTATAATACACGGAATGGGGGTAACCGTATGGCCACAATGCTAATGTACCTGTAAGTTACTTCACTAGCCATTCACTCATTGTTTACTTCAATTGTCTTCTTGGATATGAAGGTGATATTGGTCTGCACTTTTTTGTATGTTGGATGATACAGTTCAGATGTTGAAGAAGGGGGTGAGACGGTGTTCCCAAATGCCAAGGGAGATGTTAGTTCTGTGCCTTGGTGGAATGAGCTTTCTGATTGTGGAAAAGAAGGACTTTCAGTTAAGCCAAAGATGGGTGATGCTATACTCTTTTGGAGCATGAAGCCTAATACAACTTTAGATCCAACGAGTTTGCATGGTTAGTTAGTTGCTCTTTTTATTATATGTTAATAGCACTAACGTGCTTGTGTCAACAAGCTTGCACTTTTGAAAAACATTAATATACAAACCTATTTGTATTTGCGAATTTTCAGGTGCTTGTCCTGTAATCAAGGGTGATAAGTGGTCATCTGCCAAATGGATGCGGGTGGATGAATATATAATCTAAATATACGTTGTTGTAGGTTGTTATCTCTCATTTGTTGTTGTATTAATATAAATACAAATATAAATGTATATTTAGAGTTTTACAGATACACAAAAAGTGTTAAATTGGCAATGTTTTAGATTATTGCTTCACAATGTAAGTTCATAACCGATTATAAATTAATGATCTTCACAAGATGCCCAAATTGCATAACAATTACAATTCAATAGCATTCTGCATAATTACAGTGGAACAACAATGTACAAGAGCAAGACTAAGAATTTAGTAGATCCAGCTACCTTCTGGATTCTCTATTTGTTTTCTACTTTAGAATGCTTGTTGTATGACTTCATTACATTGTTTGAATTCAGCAGCCTCTTACTTTCTCCAAAATTTAATACCCCAAAATTTCTGAGCTTTAGGCCTACTTTTCTGTCCAAACATAAAAGAAAGCCAGAGGCAAAAGGGGAGCTATGCTTCAACAAAATCATGTGAACTAGGGATTCTACATTAGAGTTTCAATAAAGCTCTTTAAATAAAGCTCTTTACTTTCTTCGGAGGAATGAAGAGAATTGAATTTTCAGAAACATTACTTGGAGATAAATTTATAAAATACATCCACAAGATGTTAGTATTATCATTTGGCAGTGCCAATTCCCGTGCATGTTTTCTTTTTATCTAGACAATGTTTGGCAAGGCTAAACTTCCAGTGTATAGCAAATAGATTATGGACCTTGTTGTGTTGAGTTATTTGAGTCTCTATATTGACCTAAGGATTCGTGATACTCCTTGAGATAACTTTTGAAAACCAGAACCTGTAATTGTTTAGTGGAAAGTCTAATTTTATCAACCTTTGAAGGAGTGACCAGCTTTTCTTGCATTTGAGAAATTTGATTAGAAGTTGATAATTTGGCACAACCTTAAAGACGATCTACTTAGGATATTGCTTGAAGTTGATCGTGATGTCCGAGCATGTGATTCTTTGTTTATGAAGTTACACATACACACACATATGTTATGGTTAATGGTTATGTTCAGAGTACATTGCATCAGTTATGTTAGCAACTATCAGAGATGGTTGTTTCTCACACCGGGGAAACAACCGATGTGTAAGACATTTTAACAACTTCATAGTCAGGCTTTTTTTAACGGTATCACACACCTAGAATTAATCACGTGTGTATGAATATTATTTGTTTATGTTGTGAGTAAATTCAATCCTAGGCAACCTAGAAGTCAGTTAATATGATAGTTAGGTAGTTATAATTAACTCCATTTTTGGTTAACTAACAAGAAGTTAGTTAGTTAACTATATGACATTGTACAAATGATGTAATTCATTTGTACTGATCATTAAGTCTACATTGAATACAATCCACTACTTTGATCCTTTCAATTCATCTCTCTATTTCTTCTTCCCTCATTTCTTTTAGAGCAAGAAATCCTTATGCTCTAATAGATTTGGTATCTAGAGCTCGATTCTTGTTTATGTAAAATACATAGATTGATGAGCCTTCAACCATTATCAACCAAGTAAAGATGACGGGTGGTAATAACCTTCCAAACACACTTCTATGATGGTAAGAATTAGGAGAGATGACACAAATAAATAAAGACGTTGTTCAGTTATCGAGACACATTTGAAGTGGTTGCTAATGTAGGTCAAGAAATCCCTGCTAATGTAGGAAGAGATGAAGAAAAATTACAAGGCTATCTACTTTGTACAGGCAACAATATATGTTGTAAACTTTGACACAATTTCTCATGTTGAGACTACATAGGAGGCATGAGACATTTTGATCAAATATTATGAAGAAGGTAAAAATGTGAAGGGTGTAATCTACAATCTCTTAGAAGGCAATATGAATTATTGCAAATGGAGAAGAATGAAACAAATGTAGCTTATGCATCAAAGATTCAAGGCTTGGTTCAGATGATGAGAGGCTGTGGTAAAGTGATGATAGAGAAAATGGTGCTTGAAAAGGTGTCGAGAATGCTCACTCCTCAACTTGGTCATGTAATGGTTGCTATAAAAGAATTTGACACCTTAGAAACCATGAAGATAGAGGATCTCATAGGGTCACTAGAGGCAATGAGCTGTGAATTTTTGAAAGATAGAGTGTAAGCCATTTTGAGTACCGTGGGTTCGAACTTTCAAGAAGAATGGTGGTGGTTTTTAAAGGCACAAGGATATCCAAGAAAGTTTAAAGAAATATGCATGATCATGCTCACAAAATACTAAGCGTGATGGTAAACATGATTCCTTTCAAAAAGGAGAAGTGCAGGAGAAGTGCCATCAAACTTAATCCAATAGAAGACTCAAAGCAAGGAAAAAAACACATTCAGTGCTATAAATGTGAGAAATGAGGTCATTATGCCTTAGATTCTTGGTACGATAAAGGAAAAAAGAAGGCTCGTAATAATGGTGATGATGTATAAAAAATAGTTTAAGGTGGCTCATATGATAATATTGTAGTATTCGTAACTACAATGTTCGATGATCAACATAAAGTAGGGTCATGCTTTCTAGATACAGACAACTCGAACCACATAACATGCCACAAGAGCATGTTGGTCATGTTTGATAACAAACGAAAGAGTAAGGTGATTAGTAAAACCTTTCAGGTTAAGAGAACATGGAACACCGTGATTAGAAGGAATGATGTTGATCTCTAATCCTTGGGGACGTGTTGTTTGAACAAGGAATGAAGTGTAATTTACTAAGTGTTAGCCAACTTATAAAGAAGGGTTTCTCTATAATCATGAAGAATGATGTTTTTGAATTGTATGATCATACCAACATTCTTGTCTTGATGTCACCTATTGCAAAGGAATAGGACATTCAAGACAATGATCAACACCATGCGAGTGACTTTCCATTAGATGTATTTTGCATGACGTCAAAACTAGGATACTTTAGCGTTAATGTATATTGGACAGTATCCTCTGATTCTATATGTGCATTTTAGTATTAGGATGCATTAAAATGTTTTGGAAAAGTATCATACGTCAAAAATGCATTGAAAACAAAATTTTATGAAAGCAATACAACATAGGTCGACAATTAGAACCCACAGGTTGACATATAGAAGAAAAACTTTCCTATATGTCGACACATCTATCCTTTAGGTCGACACACGTGGCGCAGTATTAAAGCCTATAGGCTCTGTCCATGTGCTGACTCACTTAGGTCGACTCAAGACCTTCATAGGTCGATACAAGATCTTCATAGGTCGACACAAGTGTTAAAAATTATAGTCGGGAGTGTTTTATCGTATCCGTAGGGATTGTACGGGAATATTTGATGCTTACCGTTCAATATTTTAGTGACTTAAGTAAAGGGGTTTTCAAATGGTTTGTATTTGGTAACACAAGTTTGCAAGAAGTAAAACAAGGTAAAAGTTGGTTCTTGTTTGATAAAAAGTATGCCAAGATTAGGTTTCACTAATCCGTCTTAAACGTATCCAATCAATCGAATATGTGAACTTAGTTTCAACCAATATAATCGCGTATCCTCGCAAAACTGTTTATCTCTAAAGCGATTTTGCGAATATTATTGTTTCGACCGTTAAATGATCTCTCGAAATAACACCCGAAACAATAATCGTTAAGATCAATACAATGCAAATATCAACTTCCAAATCTATGTCTAGAGTTTGTTAGTTGATAGATGAAAAAATTAGGTCAAAACTTGAAAACTTTATGTCTAAAGCAATCCAAACCATAAATACAACAAAATATAGCAAATAACTTCATCTATATTGATCAAAGCTTTGTTCACATACAAAAGATTAAAAGAAATACATAAAATCAGAATTAGTTACCTCTAATCTTGACACAAAAGAGGTTTAACCACCCATTTTCATGGTAGCTTGAGCAACAAGTTTCAGAAGAAGTTTAATCAACATCCAAGTTAAAAAATCGAGATTGGATGGGAACCCACCTTCTTTTGGTGAAAGATGGCTAAGAGATGATGAAAATGGGAGAACTAGGGTTTTCTTGATGAAAAATATGAAGTTATGAAAAGGTATCAAAAAGTGGTATGGGCTAAAAAGTGGTCTCAAGTACTTATACCCATGCTGCTGCTCTGCCACGTTGGCACTGTGAACATTCTGTTCGCCTAGAAAACAACCAAATATGGCACTTAAATTGCCTTTGTACAGTTAAACCGCCCTGAGACATTTCCTCATGTTCGCTGTGCGAACAATCCTTCGCACTGCGAAGCCTTCGCTAGCAACTTCACACAACGAGTTTCTATCTAAATACCTATTGCCTTAAGTCTGAGACCATTCGCTAGCACTTCGCTACTTCTTTGCTCCTGCGAACCATTCGCTAGCTTCTTCACTCAACGAGTTTTGGTCCCTTTCTCCTCTGTGTGAACAATACCAAGCTCCCAGGGGTCTTCGCTGGCAAGTTGACTGTGCGAACTCGTTGATGAATTTTATGGGGAAGTTCGCTAGGAGCTTCCCACGACGAACTTCATGATGTTTTTCTACTGTCTTGGTTTCCTTGCCAATATTCTCGTGTCTTACTCTTCACTTGTTTTGTGCCTAATTCCTACACAATAGAACACATATCAAAGCAACCAAGACATTTTCAAGGAATGAAGCATATCATCCAAAACATAAGTGGTTCTAATCAATTTATCCACAAAAAGAATGAAAGATGCCAACATCCAATAGAGAAATAAAGCAATGTTTGGCATCTAACAAATCTCCCTAACTAGATTTTTGCTTGTCCTCAAGAAAAGTATGCCTCTCATTTCAAACAAGAGGATTTACTCAAGACTAAAATTCACCCAAGAATGGATAAAATGACTCAAACACAAAGAATGTAAACAAGCAATGGTTTCAACTATTGAGAATCAAACAATGCGCAAAAACTAAATTATTTAAATAAATATCAAGCCATGCATCAATCAACAACTAAGTTTTTAATGAATGAATCACTGTATCTCTCCTCTTCGAATAAGGATTGAAGAAATTACACGTTTGCAACCGCAGGAAAAATTTCACTCACCT